CTCCATAACAAAGTTTGGCCATTAACCCTCATCTTGAAAATGAACATTTCAGGACCATTTTATGCCAGTTATCTTATTTTATCGATAAACAGGAACAATATTGAAAACTATCTAACCATAATCAGATATTAGCTCTTCTAATCATCAATCCTTTTCATGCCTCGTGGCACATAGGGCCTTCACAGGGCTTTTCCACTTCTCTCGATTGGTAGCTGCTGTCCGCACCTCCTCCCACGATCTCCAACCTGCCTCTTGCCTTTCTTTCTCAACTGTACGTCTCGAAGCTCTTCTAACAGAAACTCGATAAGACATCAGACACTAGAAAGCTGCTCAATTTTGTAAGCCACACATATATGCATTGCGGACCTATTTTTTCTAATTGATGGTGTTTGCTGTATTCACATGGCCTGGTTACCATACTGTACCAGCCAACTCTCATGCATGATGCGCGAGTCTCGCGTCCACGGCCGAAAGACATCGATCTCATGCATTGAGGGCAATTTCTCATGCCTGACTTGGAAATGCAGTTGACTTGTTCTTTAGCACACTAACAACAAAAATTAAATCCCATATTCCCCTTAAATATTCCAACAAACTGGGCTTGTTGTTGCTTCAAATAGCTTTGGACGTGTTCAGAAGTCATCAGAGCATCTTTGGACATATTCAGTTGCATTCGGAAGTCTTTGGTAAATTGTTGGAAGTTGCCGGAACAACTTCGGAAACTCCGGTTGTAAGGAGACAAAAATCTCGTGTATTTGACTCGGAAAAAGTTGGCAGGTATACCAGAGTTCTCTAGCACTTTCCTTTATATTATACCATGGATTATATAATTTTTGTAAGTGAATTGGAGATAATGGTGTATGAATCCTTTTCACACTTCCATCTACAACCAGTACTAGTTCCAGTACCTTTATCTCTTTTTACTTCTTATGGTAGTGCACTGGATGGTGCTCCATCATTCATGCCATGAAGTATGTGAATGAGGGTAAATGATTGAGTGTCTTAGAGAATTTGAAGGCAAACTAACAGGTCTACAGCATGTGGATAATCCTGCTGTTGTTAAAAGAAAAACGAAGAACTGGGAATGAGTAATGGGGAATAGAAAATGGAAAAACTCGAAGTTGTTCATTAACCTACACAATCCTTTTAATGGTATGTTACTGTATCTAGAAGTAATGTTCGTCACAGCTTGTCAAGGAAAAATGCATTTTTAATGACCAATTAAAAATACATTCTAACAGGAAGGAAGGCCTCAAAGGGTAAAAGGGTGTTCAAAAGAACACTAGAAGTTTTAAAGTTCTTAAAAGTCCTGGTTGGTATTCAAATTAATGCCACAAATCATGTACAAAAATACTTTCTACAAAATTAGGTTGTATTTGTAACATCTCTTTCTTCCCTTTTCAGTTAAAATGCAACATTATTATGTTGTAAATTCATATATATTTTAAACTTATGTACATAATGCTGAATTGATGTGCACATGTTTTATTTTGGCTCAATGCACTTTCAAGAGTGAAGAAGGAAAAATGCATAAATAAACATTCAAATTGAAAATGAAAAGGTGTTTTTCTGTTACATAGGCAACACCACTTTTGTAAGTATAAAGAAAAAAGTTCTGTTACCAAACCATGAAATAAACTACTCTGTAGCTTTCTACTATATATGCCAGAGTTATGGAAACAATGCCAAGCAATTTGTGTTGTTCAAAGAAGAAAAAACTCTTAAATTTCATAAAGTTTAAAGGTAACAAACCTTTCCAAACTTTCAGATTTAGTAACTTTTTCCTGTCAAACCTTTCAGGAGTTCACTACGTTATGGTGTGTAAAAAATGTACCAGAACAAGAACAATTAGAGTTGAGTAAAATTATGTCAACCCTTTATCAAGCTTGTAGTACATAATAAATTTGAAAAAGTTCCACTTTGTGGATTTGAGAGTTTTTTTTGTGTTACAAGAGTTAATTTCTGCAATTTTCTGTTCAAGCAGCAGGAAAAAATAAGAGTAACAAACCCAACATTCTCTTATTTGCAACTTAGTTAGCTTGAACAGAAGGGAAATACTGTATAGATGGACATTTCAAGTGAGTCTGCCATGCAGGCTTTTTCATCAAACTAACAAGAGCAAATTTCTGTTGCTTTTTGTGTCATTAATTTTTCCTGCAAAAACCTTTATAATTTTGCACATCAAGGACCACTAGAAAAAATTGGCACACAAAATTTTCATGCTTCACAATTATACAGTCATGCTCAGGAAATTTGAGCAAGACCTTTCTCTATGAGAAAGCAAACCTAAAAAACTAACCATCAAATTACAATGTTAATCTACATGCAGCAGTAGCTGGACATTTGTCACATTTTACAGTGTAACATTGCTTATATGGCGTAGCTCTCTATACTACTGGATTCTTAGTCGGTGAATGAGTGGAACAACACCTGTGAGAGATTTTTTCTTTCTCTAGCTTGTATAAATGCTTCACATGTTTTTCCCTAATTAAAGCTATTTTGAATTCCTGCTTTCTTCAGTTAGTGAAGTAAGGTTTTTTTGTCAGCTTTAAACAATTAAAGAGATTTTTCCTATCAATCATTTCTTTAGACTTCTTTTTCTGTTGAATATGCCACCTTCGAAGGGTAGTTACTTTCAGAAATTGAGCACCTTTGGGCAGTTGTTAACAGCTTTCACAACTTAACTGTATTTTCTTTTAACATGAATGCAATACTTATACAGGTAAAATACCGTTTGAAAATATCTCGTAAATTGATTTAAGAGCTAGTAATCCTGGTAATCATAACTAAAATTTGTAATAAGGGTAGCATTCATGCAAAGAAAATACCAAATAAATGTTTAACAATTTACTGATAGAGCTTAAAATCTTGATTACTTAATAGTCATATACAAAAAACTGAAATTTATCATTGCTAGTATTTACATTTTCCTCAGGAAGATGGTACTCTAATGAATAGTTTTCACCAGCTTTGGAGCTTTCAGACCTTATTTTCAAAAAGTTTCCTAAATGTAACCCATCAAGCATTCTTTCTTCTGGAATTGCACAGGTGGCAGGAGGGCTAAGTAGGGTGAGACTTCCTTGAGAGAGAAAGAGGACACCTGCGGCAACAAAATGCCCCACCAAGGCACTGACTATGGGCTGATCTGATAGGAAGGGTGGAAGACAATTAGAATTATTCATAAACAGATCACTTTATCCCTAAAATGTAGTCTGGATACTTTTTAACAGACATAACATTTTTGTGAATAATAAGGTTGCAAATTTATCAAGAACAGGTTCAGTCTTGGACACTTGGTAACACATGCCCTTTTAGGGAAGTACCCCGAAAAGAGAGAAAGAGACAGAGATCATTTTTCCAAATAGTTCTGAATAGGTCGACCTCAGTTAAGGTTAAGACACAATTTTCAACCTGACATGCCATAGTAGGTGTGGAGTTTGATTCCTAGCAGGGGTCATTTCATGTATACAAGCCCTTATATTAACTGCTGGGCTACTAAAATGGCTTGTTAAGTTGGGAGATAATTAACTTTTAAAATTTAAACCAGTCAACAAGAGCAACACCAACCTGATAAAAGGTATATATCCATCAAGTGCCATATGCCCTGCCATGAAGCCACCACTCCAAGCCCCAGTAGATAGAGGAAACTTTTCGCTACCACTGTTCCCATAGCCCGCGTCAACAAGGAATTCGCCAGGTTTAATTCAAAGGACAACAAGTACTCGCCCATGAAATAGCATGAAATGAATACAGTGTATCCCAAGCCCAAAACAAGGACTGAATATGTAAACTTCGACCCACATGGCGATGTCACATTACTCAGAATTATCCATGTTCCTCGCCAATAGACTATAACACCTGCACCTATAACATAGACAGTGACAAAACTGTTCAATACATGTGAGTAACAAGCTGTCTTGCTCCTTAAACAATGCTTTACGGTAAGAATCACTTCTGATGGCTCTGTCTGTCTCTCACTGACGCAGTAACCTGGAACGGCGATTATAGATCTAGGTGTTTTCAACAAAAACACAATCAAGAATCCAATTCCGTGGGAAACACCGGCGCTTGTAGAAGAAGTCGTAGTGTAATGATCCAGTATCATCCACAACCCTCTCCATGATGCGACGGTCAAGTTCGCCAGAAGGTAAATAAGAACGAGATACAATGCGTTCTTCGCTTTCGCTTCGTTTATGAATTTCTTTAAACGATCCTCTATTGCTGTCATTATGAAAATAATCCCGAAACTCGCATTGACCCCAACTAAGGCACTTAAAACTGCATCACCAGGAAAAAGGAGGTCAAACATATACCATGTACCACGCCAGAAGTTTACCACGGCGGGTGTAAGTAGGCATAAGACGAGGACCAAGTAAAGGAATTTTTTCCGACATAACCTAGGAACAGATTTGGTTACCATACTTCGGAGGTGGCAAATCGAAAGACGCGTGATAATTATCGCAATGCGCACCATCCAAAACCACTACCGCTGCTACCCAGAGGCTGTTAGAACATAGCTAGCAGAACCGCGCAATCAAATTCAATATACGTAAGCGTGCTCAAAATCCCGATAGTGCACTCTGATAGCCTCAGCAACTCGCTTCGCTAGAAATTTTTTTTTTCCGCTCGAGCGGCCATTGTTAGCGCGAGGAAAAATAATATATATCGCAACAATAATGGATACAAACAGAAACAACATATGGCAATCTGCGGTCTCTCTTTACATTTAGGCAACACGGAAAGCCGCAAAACTCTTGAACAAAAGTTAATCTGTCAAACCGGCACTCTTAATCCCACAGGTATCAACGAACGCTTTTCATTCCACTAATTTAGTCGTGTTTTTCCCGTTGCCATGTTCCCACCAATGGCGTAGCTCCGCTTTCTGCATATAAAACCATATACAACCTCCATTCGCTCTGACGATGGGCTAACGCTCGAAAGGTCAGCTTTATTCCTTTACTAACTATGGTTACGGCGGCCAATTTACAATTTCACCTTAGGCCCTCCACAGACTAGGGATTCAGTTGTCGACAACTATTTGTGATCGACAACTAAAAGTTATCGACAACTAAAAAACGTAGTCTGTGGCGCAAGTTGTCGACAACTAAACCGCAAATTATTAGTTGTCGACGGCCTCATTTTTTAGCGATTTTTTAGTGTGTGTAAACTTTTGTTTTAGTTGTCGAGTAATTTTCGATCTCCGCGCTACTGTGTCAGCGGCTTTCCCAGCTGGCT